TTGAACAAACAATAAGTTAGGTTGTAAATAGTAGGCATTTCGACAGTGCATGGAGGCCCTGATGACCCATCACTGATATAAAAATGTGTATGAACCAGTTGGAAAAAGAAATCAGTTAAAATGTTGGGTAATATGTGGTGGTATTTACTTCAGTCTAAAATTGGTGCCTTATTTCCAAAACAAATCACATTTATGTTTACTATGGATTTAAAGTATCATGTAGACAATAATAGTTTTATAAAATTCAAAAGAATTAAAAAGGCCTTTTTTCAAACTCCAACCACACCAGACAAATTTATGCTGGCAGCGGACGTAAACTATAATTTCAACTTTTATTTTCAAACTGAAAAATCCTGTTTCAGAAGGAGCAGTCTGACATTTGACCAGTACACTTACAAATGTAAAAAAAAATTCATCAGTTTGTCAGCAGGTAGAAAACCTTCACAAAAATTTAAATGTAGCATTGCTTTTGAGTTGGCTAAAATTTAGCAAAGCCTAAGCTAAGCAGCTAACTCATTAAAAAAAAAATATATATATATATGTATTTTTTCTGATGTCAACGTGTGTGTGAGTGCTTTCACCTGGCACTCACACACACGCTGACAGACAGAGAATAATCAATCAGTGCTTGGAAAACATTTCATTTCAGACGCTTTCAATGATGGATAGAAACTGTCAGATTTGTCTCTGTCACCCGGACGTGATTCACGATCCCGGCTGGCCAATCAGGCCTCGTCTTTACACTCATTTCCTGACCTCGCTTCAGGAACTTCCTTATTATGTCTCCCACCAGGGAAACTCTGTCACACATACATACATGGCATTTTCAGATGAAATGACGTATACTGCTAGAAAAGAAGAACAAAAAAACAAAAAAACGTTTTTTGAGCAGGAACTGGTGGCAGCCTGTCAAACCACGCACGTCCTGGTGCTCACATATTTGCCTCTCTTGCCCTTAGTGGAGATGGTCTTGCTGCTCCTCACCGATCCTTTCTTTAGCTGCACGCTGCTGGATGCACTGTCTGACGCCGTCCTCTTTCCCGACTCATGTTGCCTTAAGTTCTGGAGATTCTCGCAATCCTCCGAATGAAAGTCTCGTTGGTCACAGCAGAACCACTTTATGGAGCTGTAGAACAGCTCCAGAATGCTAGAAAAGGCAGACAGGACGCCCACGCCAAAGTAGAAGTAGAGGAAGATGGTTTTCTCCATAGGACGGGAGGTGAAGCAGTCAACGGTGTAGGGGCAGGGGAAGCGATCACAGGGGTACTGGGCCGGCACCTCGAAGCTGTACAGCTTGCACTGACCCACCAAGAAGCTCACCTCCGCTATGATTCGAAAGATGACGTTTACGATGTACAGCCTCCTCAGACGGCGGTCGTCTATGTAGTTCTGAATGCTGCTGCGCTTCGACTTGGGCCGCAAGGCTTTTTTGTTATGATGATGTGTGGCGTACATGAGAAAAACTATGGACGGCGTGGCAATCAGAACTATGTGAAACACCCAAAATCTGTACTGGGAGATGGGGAACGCCTTGTCATAGCACACCTGCTTACAGCCCGGCTGGAGGGTGTTGCAAGAAAACTCCGATTGTTCGTCCTCAAACAGGTCGCTGGCCACAGTCCCCAGGATCAGGATCCGAAACACGAGCATGAGGAAGAGCCAGAAGCGTCCGAGCATCGGCGAGTGGGCCTGGAGGCTGTCGAAGACGCTCCCGAGGAACCACCACTCACCCATGGCTGCAGTGGATGTCAGGGAGGCTGGAGGTGTCTTTGCTGAAATGTGCTACACAAATAAAATTTGATTTGATTCACCTGAGCCTCACAGTGAAAAGTGAAAAAGAAACTGAAGCGGACACCAATATATCCTGTTCAGGACTGAAGGTGCGGTTCAAAGGTTATTTTAGGGTTCATTGTGTAGTTGTTTATTGACCTGAAACCAAAAACAAAAGCACAGATTGGAAAATTCACACATGTAAGATAGTAAAGATTGGCTTTCATTCAACTTTCTGTTTATTACATTGATTTACCATAAGGTAATATAAATACTCTGATTGTTACAGACTCAAAATCAAATAGTAACTTTGCTCAAATTTTATCTCAAATTAAAGTAGAACCGATTATGACATTACTTACAGTTTCCCTTTGTCCAGTTCTTTTCTGCCAACAAACAAACAAAACAAATCGATGTATTTCCTCTTTAACTCTAAATCTTTTTTTAAATGATGTAGTCCTTAACCACCTGCTGCTTTTAAAACACACCGACTGCCTGCAGAAACGAAATGCCATGTCATTTACAAAACAGGTCTGTCCACACGCTTGTCTGAACATGAAAGATTTCCACAAATATCAGAGGCTTAAAGATTGCGGGATGAATCCGAAGGCATTACAAAAACACACCGGCCGCTAACGCCACACCGCCCAGGCCTCGGCCGGTGCCTCCAAATGGCTTGAGTATGAGGTCTGTCGTGACTTTTAATTGAGCGGGCGGCAACGGTTTCAAGGAAATTCCTTCCACGCCCTAATCTGTGTCGAGTCCCAGGCAAGAGACGATGTTTACCCAAGAAAGGCAAAGCTTGATGAACATTTCAAAGTGCTTCCTAAATGGCAGGAAGGGATTTGTTTCGTGCTGTACCACCAGCTTTCCTGATCACAAGGGGATAGCATGAGAACACGTGACGTACAGTGGGAGAATCATAAATCAAATGAATTATAGAAACAGCTGGAAAGCACAACCACAATAATGAATCGCTGAATATTTTACAGCTGGTGTTTAAAAGTTCACGGTTTGTTGTGCTCAGTGCTAAAGGCTCCTGAACCAGAAATCACTTAGAGAACACAGAAAAGTTTGATTTCAGCAATTCCTGTGTTCAAGTTACCAGAACTAATGTTCGTAAAGTTTTTGAGGTATTTTGAGTCCATATGAAAATATTTGGTGCGAATATCATAGCTTGTCAGTCACAAACATTTGTCTACACTCGCTGCATTTCTATTAACATTTAGAGAACATTCCAATAAAAAAAAAGTTTTTTGACAAGTTCTTTATTTTAGATTGAAGGTTTCTTTACAAGACGTCAACGGAGACATTTATCGCATCAAAAGCCACGTGATGGTCAGCCGAGCATTACTACTGCTGGAATAGACGAAGACGACGACAGGAAGTCGGAGGAGGATCTTGACGCCGCATTTTTTAATGAATCATCGCACAAACTTTCTCACATTACATTTTTTACTTTATTTAATGGAAACATTGCAACTGCAAAGTTGTTGATATTGGCACTAGTGGAACAAAGCCTTGCTCACGTTTGTAATGGAAAGGCAGCAACTGGTGCAAACAGTCCAGCCGAACTCTTATGAGGTATTGCTGTAAAATCAATTAGGTGATACAATGAGTTGACAAATTATTACCAGCTGTTCCTGTAAACTGAAATCACCTGCATTGTTATGGCTGGAAAATGTATTCATTTCATTCATGTTAATCTTTATATATACTTGGATTCCTTCTGAGCTGAATTTTTATGTCTGCACATGAATTTGATGATTACTTTTGATATTTGTTGCGAATTTACATTGGAAGTTAACTACAAAAAAATAACACAATGGAATGACATACGCCAAATAAAGATGTTTTTTTCTTGATGTTTGAAATTAAATAAAACCAACATTCTTGTTTTACATCAGAATTGCCAAAATGTTTGGTTTGCTAAATGCCAGAAAACGTAGCAAAAATATTTTGAGATATTTTTTTCTTGGAATTTATAAGTTTACATACTTTTGTCAGTGTAAGAAAAATCTGAAAAATCTTTTCTGACGAGTCAAATAGACCTAACTGTGGTAACTCTAACGGACCTAAAACAAGAGCAGGTTGGTCTGATTTACAGTGTTTTTATTATTTAATTTTTGAGCTAATAAGGGAGCGATACAATCAACTGTCATTATTCAACCTCTTCACCATATTTTAATTTGGGTTTTCATAAACTGTCAACCAGTCAACAAAACTACAAGAACGCTTCAATTATTCTGTGTAAGGAACCTGAAATAGAAGCTTCTCTTTCTGAAAAATATTGAATTATTTTACATTCAAATTGAAGTGTATTCCCACATCCAGATTTCATTTTTCCATTTGAGAAAAGTAAACTTTTTACTCCTCCCCAGAGTTCATGAGAGCCCTGGGAATAGGATCATGTTATACATTTTGATATTTCCACTGAAGGGTTTCATCCCAACAGAATCTCAATACCAAAAGCCTCGCTCTCATGAAAGGTTCATTTTTTCCTGTAATTGGTTTCTAACAGTTTGTGACTTAAGCCCCGCCCTCTCTGTGCTGGGAGTCAGTTTTGCAGGTCAAACATAACATCCTCACACGTTCAAAACTTAGTACAAACTTTCTTTATTTTACGACAACTATGAGTAACCACTGAAATATTTACAAGACACAACAGCATACATTAGAAAACAGTCAAGGAACAATTTGAATAACTTCAAAACCAGACGTTCTGCTGAAAACACATCTATAAAAACTTCAACTCTTTATAAACTAGTCAGAGATGAGTTCTACAAAGTTTTCAAGCAGTGCGCAAAAGCATGAAACATCTAACTAAGCCGTGTGTTATGTCAAAATAAATCTTAGAAATGTTTAAAAGTCTTCATCAGAGTCTGAGTCCACGTTGTAGGTGACGGGTTTTCGAGCACGAGAGGGTTTATCCCGAGGCGCCACGGCAACAAGAGCCTCTTCCTCTTGGCCTGAAAGCTGGAAGATGTCATCTTCCATCCACTTTTTCGATTTCTACAAAGATATTATTTAAGCATGAGAAGATATTATTTAAAATATTTTATTTTCTTTTTTCAATAATCAGTTGACGTAGAATCAAGAGCTTCTGGGTAAGACACCAACCTTTACAGCAACTTGTGATTTAGCCTTGAGACGCGACATGAGGTCGCCTGAGCTGCTGTCCGACTCGTCGCTGATCACCTGCTTCCGCTTCACAGGGCCTTTGCTTTGCTTTGCTGCTGGAACGGTCCCTTCGTCCTCCGAGTCGCTGGAGTGAAACGTGGGGATCTTTTTGGAAGCGGTCTTGGTGGAAGCTTTGGGTTTGGAGAGAGCATCTAGAATAGAAGGCTGCTTTTCATCTGGGGGGAGGGGAGAGGGAATCGTGATGTTTAAACTGATCAATGGATGAGGATTCAATTTCTGAATTCATACCGGCAGTTAACTGCATAAAATCCCAGTAAAAAAAAAAAAAAAAAGATTTGGTGGTTGTAATGTGACAAAATGTAAATAAGTTCAATAGGTGGGAATAGGAATGCAAACAATACTCAGTAATCAATGACTTGTATCTGTCGTGACATAATAGTGGGATGTATAAACTGCTCTACCTGATGGCTTCTTCTTGGAGGCAGTGGGTTTCTTGGCTGGAGCTTTTTTGGCTGCCGTCTCTTTGGGTTTCTGTTGAGCTGGAGGTTTGGATGCTGGGGGCGCATCATCAGAGGAAACTGAAACCCAATCAGGATGAAACAATTCACCTTCACATCTTCAGCTCAACACCTGCCAAAAGTAGCCGGCAAATTCTTACCAGATGACTTGGTTTCTGTCTTTTTAACCAACGTTTGGCTCTTTGCCGTCTTTTTCCTAAACAAAAAAAAAAAAAAAAGAAGAAGACAGGACTGTAGGTGAGGTAACAGGGCTAAGACTATGTGTGAAAGTTTCAGCCGGTTCTTCCTGCATACGCTGGCTCTGGAGCTTTGGGAGGGGGTGGCAGGGAGTTGACGTCGCTGTCCGACTCGGTGCTGGGCCCCAGGCCGAAGCTCGAATCATCATCACTGATAACAGGTTTCCTGTTTTGGGAACTCTTCTTTGCCCAGTCATCAAAATCATCTTCGCTGTCCGACAGGCTGTACTTCACCGGGGCTGGAGCGTTACGCAACAGAGGAGGGGGAGAGTTTAGAAACACGCTCATTTGCAGAAATGTTCCAAATAAACAAGATTTAGAAATGACTGTACAGATTAGGAAGAGTCTCTACTGCAGGCAGCTGGAGATAAGAGTGAACACTGGCTACATTCTTGGGTTGACTGGGATCTAGATGGGCTAAGCTCTCAGTGAGGGCTAAGCTGGGAAACATAACGAAGCAGATTCACCTTTAGTTTTGCGTTCTATGTGCTCCCTGGGGGCCGGCGTTTCCTCTGCCTCCATGTCGCCTCCTGACAAGCCTTCAGGCTCATCATCCGACCACAAATTCTTCTTTGGCTTCTTGGCAACAGGCTTGAACTGAAGAGTGGTCTGCTTACCAACCTTTGATGTGGCTGGAAGAAGATTTGTTTTACATTTTAATAAACACATGACAGTAATTAGATATAGATGTAGTTAAAAGAAAACCATTGAAGTTCTTAGATGCCTCTTGGGACTGAACAGGGAAGTGTTGCATCACGTATCCCGACGCCAGAAGTCATGTGACCAATCATTTCCTCGTGTTCTCAGTTTTTGTTTGCATATTAAAGCGTCATAGTCATAGTGAGCCATTTAAAGTCTTACTTGTTACCTTATTTGATGTTAGGTTTTGGTCAGGAAACATTTACAAAATATTTGTGATGTTGAACTGTGGTCCACACAGGTGGTATGTAGGTTCAGCTTTTGGTTCAAGTTGCGCAAGTTGTTGTGATGTAACAACATAAGATAGTTCCTTTATAACTAGTTCTGTTGGCTCAGAATAATCCTTCAAGTAGATCTGTAGCATTGAATGGTTCTTGTGTAACCGTTCTTCAGGGCAGTTCTGTAACAGCAAAGAGCTCCTTCATCTCATCACATTAAGGAGCTGTTAAGAACCAGCTTTAATGAGCATATTGTGAAACTCTACACTTCAATAAGAAAGCTCAAACCAGGCATTATGATTAGATGACAACATGTCAGAGCTACCTGCTTTGCATGCAAATGAACAAAGGGCTCAAGACAAAGTGAGCCACAGAACAGGCCTGATGACATGTTTCCTCAAGAAACAAACATCTGAAAAAAAGAGAAAATCGAGCTTTCTTGGTCTCTATAATGACACTAAAATGTATTTTTATCAAGTTTTCTAGGCACCATTTTTCAGCACAATTAAGTAGCTGTGTTAACTTCAGGTGTTATAAAACAAATACTCTATATATCAAATATGACAAAAGAAATTTGCATTCGTAACTTAACACATTGAAAATGGGCCTCTGTCTCTTTAAGAAGCTCCTGCTCTTTCTGAAACTCCACCTTCAGGAAGTCATCACAACATGGCTCCTTCGTTAACCCTTTAATGTTTTTATCAGTGCTGCAATGAAAAGCATAATGAGGTCAGCAAATGCCCGGTAGCTTGCTAATTGCTGCTGGCTAGTCTGAAGGAGCTGAGTCACAGGGAAGGGTTGCTATGTGAGGCAGAAGCTTGAAAACTGCAGCTCTGAGGAGGCAGA